TGATGATGATGATGATGATGATGATGAAGTGGTCTTTGACGAGGTTCGAGACAGTAACATCTTTGAACGTAGGTTGTAGGATGTTAGTACGCAGTTCGAGTTGAATATTATGAAAAGAAAAAGAGAAAAATCCCCAAACAAGGAACTATTGAGAATGAAAATATAGTTGAATTGATGGATATTTATGGCAAAGTTGAGTTATATAGCGTGAATGTTGTAAAATTAAGGATGTTGAATGACGGTGAGGGTTGTGGACATTCACGTTGAAATTTGCGTTGCAATGTGAGGATCGTAAGATTATCAAGATAAAAGTAAATATTAAATAGTGGTAGAATTGTGGATGTCAAATAATGGGTGTTCATTCTGAGATTCAATAACTGAGAATTAAAGTGTGAGTATTTTAAAATGGTCAAAATAGAAATGGCGATGAGAGTTGTGGACGTTGAAGTTTAATGATCGAGTTATCAATGTGAATGTTATAAAATTCTGAAGATAAAGATAAATATTAAACAATGACGGAGCTGTGGATGTTAAATTTTAAATTGCACAGATGATGTGCTAATAGAACAATTGAAGTTGAAATTGAATAATTAAATTGAACGGAGAATTAGGATGATAGAATATGGAATATTATGTTATGTAAATATATGAATTGAGTACAGTATTATTATTTCCTAAATTGAAAGCATCGTTAAGTGATTGAAAGTTGGAATTAGATTTAGATCATAAATTAATCGTTGTGAGACACAGATTGAAAACTTGAGAGTCAAGTAGAATATCATTCCATGTTAATCGCACTACTTCTGGAATCACTAGTGGTCAAGTTGAATTAATTAAGGTTATTGCTATTCAGTGAACTAATTAGGTAACGAATCCTACTAAGGTTAAATCCTACTTTGACTGGAGCAGTTAAGTTAATTATCTTTTACACCTGGGATGATTTATTTGCTAATAGCATTATTCGAATGTCCACAGTCATGAACATATTTAGTCTACTACTCAATCATAATAGTAAATTGTACAAAGTATTATGAAATACAATACATATAATAAGTTAAATAATAATAATCGAATCATTAAATATACATGTTAGTATTTCTACGTGTTTAAAGTGGCTTTCTTCATGAAGGGAAAAAATTACTTGTCGCAAAATCTACATATTATATTGTAATAAAGAAATTTTTTAATTTTATACTGTTAAATATTTAATGTAATAAATGTAATCTATTAAATATATAATAATAATAGTCTATTAAATATATAATATATAATAAGAAATATACTATTTGCTTATTATACGTATATGTATTTGTTATTATATGTATTTATTATTACATATTGTTTATATATATATTACATGTAAAATTTTATGAATATTATATTCGTACATAAAATTCAATAAGATTTATGGAATGGGGTATATAAACACATTCTTACATATATTAATATTTTCACAGCATTGGTTGCTCAAATATCAATTTTTGTAAGCAAAAAATTACGTGTTTAAAGTAACAAAAGTTGATTTTTATATTATGAGATTTATAGTGTTTATTTGTGTTAATTTATAGTGTTTAGTGAGATTTATGTTTATCAGTGATAGTTTTAATAATAATAGTTAATAGTAATAGTTTTTAATATCTTCTTGCAATGTAGGTATCAAAATTCGTATCAATAATACTGCTTATTAATTACCAATGAAAAGAATTTGCAAGTTTGTATCGTTCAAACTTAATAATTAGAAAGCATGAATGCAAATCTTCATACAAATAATTCAACCCATCTACTTCAATCTTCCCAAAACTCCAAATTAAAAAAAACAGAAAGAAAGAGAGAGAGAGAGAGAGTTATCCAAACAACAGAGCGGGAAAAAAGAATTAGTGATGTTAAAACAAGCTTTGTGTCTACAGCTCGGAGATTGGAACCTCAAAAGTTCAAGCTGCAAAAAACTGAGGCCCCTAACAACTCGAACCTTTAAACTCAGAGACTCAAGCTATCTAAATTGTCTGGAACACTTGTGAGCGAGCAGTGGTTTTAAAAGCTCGAATTAGTAACACTAGCTGTCTAAATTGTGTGAAACGACGATCTACAGTATCGTAGTCTACAAAATGTCGCGTGCGTCGACGACAGTGGCGACAATGGCTCAGAGAATCAACCTTAAGAGCTTAAAGCTTCGAAAGTTCGAGCTTCGTACAACAATTAGTGCCGAAAACTCTTTACTTTAAGGTTGAGTCTTGAAACTTGTAAGACTCAAGTTTCACGAACAAGGAAGGCTACACGAGCTTATGTACGCA